GCAGGAGCAGGATTTCGGAACGGCTTCTTCTACACTCCGAGGAAAACCTGTCAACAGAACGTGTTTTTCCGTAATTCTGATTTCGGGTGATTCGAGTTAATTTATAGCATAACTTCAAGGGTGGGCCCAAGTAAATCCAGTTGTCTTGGTGGGGGACTTAGGTGGAAAAGGGTTTATTCTTATGAGTGGGTTGGGGGTTGGACTCCTGTTGTTTTCGCTAAGGTTAACGGATGAAGTCAATTAAATAATTCAAAGCTTGTTTCTATATTTGGTAATGCTATTTTTAGAAACATTACATTCTTTTAGTAATGAACCAAGATCCCTTTTGTAAGGATGTAGGGTAAGGATCTTACCGTTTATCTAAACTAGATTTTAAGAAATGATAAACAAGCAAAGTTATTCATTTTTTTACTCTAGTTTTTAGATAAAACTGGGCATATAAGAAATTTTATTAAGTTACACTTTGCTAAAGGAAAATATAGGTTAAATACATTTGAATAAGGGATTTGACTAACATTACAACCCTGGAACTAGTGTAAGGTGATTCTAATGAAAGAAAAACCTTAATTATGATTTACGGATATTGAATCTTTAAGCTAGTATCAACAAATTAAATGTGTATGTAACGAGTAGTGTCCGAACCAGATAACTTGTGCAATCTAAAATTAAATTATCAGTGAATAAAGTAATTTGAAAGATCGTATTTGAATTGTATTCCTCTTTAATATATGTAAATAAGCTAGAGCTTAGAATTTCTAGGATACGATGCGTAAAATATGTAAGCAAAATATGCATGGGGGTAAAAGAATTGTAACCAAAGGGGTAGCGATAGGATTGGGTTGCTGATGTTTTTATCGAAAGAATTTTGATGAAATCAATATACAAACTCTGCGGTGATTCCTTTTTTCAGCAAAACAATGCAACGCCCTAAGAAAGTAATGCAATTCAAGGATATTTTCGAGCCGTGTAGACAGCAGCAACAAAAACAAGGATAAAAAGAACAAGAGCAGGATAAGGACGAAAAGGAGGAGGGGCAGTGGCAAAACTACCCTTGTCACCCTTGAACGTTTTCCATTGAAACGGGTCTGTCTCCGAGTCGCAGGACGTGGAAAAAAATACGACCAAGAAGTTAAAGTCCTTTCACAAACACACAGACGCACATCCGTACTTCTGTGTACGTGCGGCCAGGATACGACGCAAAAACGTCGGGGGATGAGGACGAGGGTTGTATTTACACAAGTTTCTCTACATGTCCGTATGTAGGTGGTTTCTGCGCCGCAAATCGTGTATATTTGTGTATGTATATTTTCCAAAAATGGAAAAACGTTGAGAGGAATCTTTTGGGAAACTTGGGAATTGAGAAAATCAATATTTGCATTAAAGTCTATTTATCATTTTGTGTTGATAGTTGCACTGCCCCTATCTCTCTTTCGCTCTCTAATTGCATCTCCTTCGCGTACACACCTTTTTTAGCAGCCGCATGCAAGCCGCTTCGCTTTTGTTGTCGTTGGGCCCGATTTGTACCGTTTTTCGCTAATTGATTCGATTTTTGATTTGATTGGAATTGAGTTTGGATTTAACTTGGTTTTGCCTTTTCAGCGGATTTTCGCGAGGCAAGATTCTTTTTCCAGAGAGTTCTTATACGCGAAATTCGTTCGCTCCGACATTGGTGTATTCCTTATTCCGACTGAAGAAGATACATCCGAAACCGAAACTGAAAACACAACATAAAATCTCTCACTCTCTCTATCTCTCTCTGTTGCTTTTGCCGCTCATCTATGTAGCCTAAACAAAATATAAAAAAAATAAACCCAAATGTATCTCACAGTTAGTTTTTTGATTTTGATGTGCGCGCGCGCGCTCCAAAAATGTCGCTCTCTCTTATTGCTTTCGCTCTCTATCTCTCCTTCGCAGGGGCACATACACATACGCATGCATGGGAGGCTCACATGCACATTTTATCTTCTATTTATTTTCACTTATGCCGCACAGAACTGCATTTAATGCAGAGGGTCGTTGCAGAAGTTTGGTTAAATGTACTGTTACTAACCTCAAACAATCGAATCGTCTGATATGGCATAACGGCTAATAGGATAATGGCGTCCGCTTTAGTGCAGGGTAGCAAGGGTGTATGGGCTCCCCGGCAAGTATGTACAAAGACTACTCAGAGAAACCGCTTGCTTCTGCCCCAGCACCCCAATTACGGTTTTAGAAAGCTGAATTTAGGCCTTCTTAGGGTTGCTTTATCAAGATTACCGGTTTAGCCACTCACTTGTTAAAATCATGCACTCTATGCAGTTTTAGGGTATCCCATAGTCGTCACACTGCTGCAGTTTGATTTTCTCGTCTGTTCTTATTCGTTTATCATGTGAGTGTTTGATCGATGTAAAAAGCTAACGAAGTCTTCACAAATTGTTTACATTTTCCAGACTTCTCGGGCGAATCTCTGTTATTCTAGGTACCACCCTCGTGCAGTTTTCCTCCTGCAAGCGAAAGAGAAATTAAAAAAGCCATGAGCGATTTTTCTTATTGTGCGTCTGCTAATTCCACAAATTACTTTGGCGGGCGTGTGTTAGATGCACTTTTGTTTTGCTTGGCTTAATCGAACGGTTCCAATTCTGACCCACTTATTGCGGCGAGCACTAGGACTCGAAATCGGCTCGAAATCTTCACTCCAACCTTCACGCACGCATTTAACCATCAAACTGCAAAACTCACGTTCATGCGCTCGCCTCTGCCTCTTCCTCTTATTCTCTGTCCCGCTCTCTCGACGCTGCCCTTCTGTTTGCCCGGTGTTTGTTGTTTTTGCTATTTGCGCCCCTGTTCGTTGAGGGTATCGTATTGAGCATAGCCGACTGGGGGCTTGTGCTCTGGTCACACTGCGATGTTAATCAAATTAGGACCTAATGTTAGCTTACCAGGAAGGAAGGAACGAGTAAAGAGGACTTTATGAATTAAAGAATTTTTTTTAACTGATGAAACATTTTTTCATGTACTTAATAGAAAAGTGTCCATAACTAATTTAGAATTTGTTATGGATTTTCATAGTTAAATGTAAAATGTATCTAAGGAAACAAGAAAATAAATAATTACTATATGTTAGTATGTATTTTTTGAAAAAAAATTGTAGCATGGTTTTCAGCGAAGGTTTGAAATGCCGGATTAAAGTAATCTTATATGTATAAAACTACATATTATAATAATAATATAAATACTTTATAGTAGAAGGAATTATATTATATTATAAATATCCATCAAGGAATAAGACTATTAAATAAGATAATACAATGTTTACTAACAATCCATGTACATTAGGGTGGTCAAAAATAATAAACATTTACTTAATATTTTAATATGGTTGATTTTGGTGAGCAATAAAATTTTTCTTCCAGAAAGCTTTCCTTTCATAAAACAAACTGAACTGTTAAAACATACTAACTAGAATGCCATTTCCTATTAGGGTATTCCGCAGTCACCTTCGCTAATCCAATCTCCGTCCATCCGAAGCGCACAGAGCGACCGAGAGAGACCGTGAGCGGAAGAGAGCGAGCGAGAGCGCGTTACATTAACGGCGCATGTGGCGGGAAAATGCGGATGGAATTGTTGTTGTTGCTGTACTGCGACTTCTTGTTGTTGTTTTAGTTGGTGTGGCCGCATACACCACCCTTATAAGGGGAACCACCTACATAAATCGGGCCCAAAAAATGGATTTTTTGGAAATCATTTTAGAAGATCGTAAAATGCTTAAGAATTTTGCTTTAAAATTTCAAGTCGACATATGCAGTATTTAAGCGCTTTTTTTTAAACTTACATTTCGGATACGAGTTTAATCAAGCTCGGACGACTAAAATCTAATTTTTAAAATTTGAAATGCTTCATAGTTTTCCCATTTTTTTTGCTATTTGGACCACCTTTAGTTTTAAAAATATGGAATATGTATATAAATATTTTCAAATATCTTAAAAGTTTACTTTGTTAATTTTTTTTAAGAATCACAAAAGAAATTGTAAAATGAATAGAAGATTAGTTTTATTTATGAGCCTTAGGCATCGGATGAATACGAAGATATTATTAAACACTTGATTCTACATGCATTAAAGCAGTTGATGAAAAAGATGGATGTGCCTGGCAAAGGATCGTGAAATAGCTTAACTTTAATTGGTAATATTGCAGGAAACGTAATCGACCTTGTAATTAAAAAAATTCCGGTTCTTCAGGGAAAATGGAAACGTTTTCCAGATCACAAAAAAAAACAATTAATCATATAGGGAAACCTTCAAAGCTTTCATATTTTTTAATTCGTATGAATGATGTACTAATACAAAAAATTACTCTTGAAATACTGATTAGGTTCTTGAGATGTAGAAAGCCATTCAAGCTACACTCGACCACCTATCATCAACCGAAAGAAAAACCAAACCATGGAAACTGTCCGGCTGGATGCAGCAGAAGCTATAGCACCTTGAAAGATGTAAAAACGGCTCGTAAAAAGGAGATGTTGGCCCAAAACGAATTCCTTGAGGAAGCAGCTGAAATCGCTAATTACGCGTTTTTTAAACATAAACAAAAAAATTTTTTGTCCTAGACCACAATTAAGGACGTTACGGTGTAGACAATAAACATTCTTCATAAGCGAGACGATATAAACACGACATCAGTTCACATTTGTCTTGCACAAAATCGTTTACACTTTTAAAAGATGTATTTAATTGTCATACATATGTAAACGTATAAGGTTAATTCAACCGAAAGAAAAATGTTTAAAATGGCGTATTTTTTGACCGTGCAAAGGAGATTCCCCCTTAAGGAACTTGTTTTGCACTGACAAAAATTTCGAGCCGCCTCGAGCTTGAAAAATTCGATTGCATGAGCCGTGGCCGTGGATAATTGGGAAATCGAACTGCGGGCGGCGCGCAGGGGCTGCGCAGGTAAAACGCGCAGGTGCGCCGGAACGCAGATACAGGTAAAAAAAGCGGCTATCCTGAATAAGAGACTACAAATTACACTGGCGTGATCGTCTATTTGAAACGTACGAATGTAAGTATTGTAATGTAATATGGTATGCATGAAAGTGTGTTTGTATAAAGGAAGGCAGGCTGGAATACTGATTACATGCTACGTATGTAGGCAGATTCACAGAGTTAGTCAGTCGCGTTCTTATAATACTGTAAGCTAGGCTTATAAAGTACATTTCCCACATTCGCCCGGGAATCCGGATTGGTATGGTCAGCCGAACTCCAGTTCCTCGATTAGCACGTTTTGGAGCTTCTGGCGCACCCGCAGCCGGCGACGGTTGTCCAATCTCTGCAGGAAAGGCATCAGACTAAGCAGAAACATGCGATCTGCCTCGTCCTGAAGATCGCCACCTGTGGGATCCGTATTGGTGGCTGCATCCGTGCTTATGTACTTGAAGGGCAGATCGGAGGAGGGGGACTGGGAGTTGGAAAAAACCTTGGCCTCCGGCTCACTCTTTAGGCTGGAGCTGTGGCTGGTGTTGTTACTCTTGGCCTTGGTAACCTCCTGCTCCATTTCTTCATCATCGTCTAGCACTTCTATGGTGTATACCCCGGGGTTTGTGGTCTCCGCCCGTTTTCCCCGCTCCTCATCAAGGTTCTCCGAGGCAGCATCCTCATCGAAGTCATCATCATCCTCTTCCTCCTCATCCTCCGCCTGATTTGGCTCTATCTTGAATCGTTTGCTGTCCGGCGGATGGCACTCGCGATCCTCGAAGAACGAACTAATGTCCGAGAAGCTAGGCTGATGCAGCTCCGAGTCGTAGCTATCGCTGATCTCGCAAATGGGCTCCGTTGCCACAATGGGCATTGCGTCGTACTTGCCCGGTACCAAAACGTTATTATTCTCTGTCCAGTGTCCAGGTGGATGTTTTTTGCTGCTGCTCCGCGTCTGCCGCATGATATTCTCATGAACGGCGGGCTCCATGAACCTCATGTCGTTATAGAAGCGCCACGACGAGGGCGTTTCATTGGACAGGTTATTGCGGATGTACACCTTGCGAAAGTTGTCCCTCAGGTGGCCCCACTTGATGCGGCAGATGTCGGCTGCAGAGGGGTACTGTTTTAGAGGGGTTCATACCAATACAGAAAACAGACATATAGTTACCTGGCAGATTCACATCCTGACCCACCTCGAACCAAACGGGCGTGATGTCGCTACGCTTCTGGCCATTGGCATTGTTGCGCAGCCACAGCATGGGTCGTCGGGAGACGGCGGCAATCAGCCGCTTCACCGTTTCGATGGGTAGCTTTGCGGTATTGGTGAAGGCGAAGGAGGCCGAGGCAGAGGCGGAGGCGACGGAGGCCGCCGACGATGACGCATTGTAGGCCAGCTCCATGTCCAGATCCGAGTTGCCAATATCCAATCCCGATACCCAATTCCAGTTCCGATTTTCCCGGCAAGCGACTCGCGCAGCTCAAGCGCTCAGCCAGCACTGAAAATACGAAAAATACGGGCACCATGAAGTGTACGGCCCAACCAGCACAGCAACAACCAGTTTACGTGCCTTTTGGCGGTGCCGAGAGAGAATCGTGGAAAGAGCGGACGGAGACGGTGGCGGAGGCAGAGGCAGAGGCTGAGAAGACGGGAAGGAGAAGGAGAGAGGCTTGAGCAACAGGCTTTGCCACGAACCGAAGACCATGAAGAAGAAGAAGAGAAACAGGCGAGGCAGCAGAACAACAACTGAACCGCCTGGCAATATTATCCGGATGTTAAGCTTCCGCTGGTCGCAACTCGCTGTGTCGTATTTGCGCTTTTTACGGTTGTTAACTTCGCCGTTGTGGGCCCGCCGTAACGAATCCAATATGCTCTGCCACAGAAAGAGGTTATAGCATTCTAGACGTCCGTCCAGAGACTTGAGCGGACATGTCATTCTCTCTCAGGGAAAAGTATCCTAAGTGATCTTTCTACCCTGCCCCGCTTAGCCCCCAACACAGATCCTTTTTCCAGGTTACCCTGCCGCAAAGGCTGGAAACTCATAGTGTAGCGTATAGAGCGCGGTGTAGCGCACTTTGTTTATTTTTATCAAAACTGGATTTTACTACGGTCGGCTGGCTGGGCTGCTTGGAAATGGAAATGGAGCTGGAGTGAACGTACAAAATTCACGCCACGCCAGTGGAGCCAGTACATACATACACATACATACATATACGAGGGTGAGTGGGAACAAAAGCTCCAGCTGGAACGATCGTGAGCCTGGAACCGAAGACTGTATCCGTTGTCTGTATGTATGTACATACATACGTAGTAAATATATATGTATCTCTACTTTGCACGTTTCGGTTTGGGTCTCCTCTTCTTGAGACTGCGAAAATGCAAGTGAAGCAAACACGACAATTGGCGACCGGGGTTATTTATCAGATCTGTAGCTTTGCGGTTGGGTTTCAGCTTGACATTTGATCCTCGCCGCAATTCAACACATTCATATTTTCACACACACGCAGAGATATGTACATACTTGGACGGACAGCTGGCCAATAAGTGGGAATCCAACACCGTAATTGGCCATTTTCAAGAACGTTTCGTGAAGAAAACTAGGGAAAAAGATACATATGTACATACTGACGTACGGACCGGTTCTTTGTTTTCAATCCGGTTAAGTTATAAGGAATACGGTGCTTGTACATTGCATATTTTCTCATTAAAAATTCGTTTGTTATAAGCCATGTCGAATACAAACAATACTTTAGGGGCTTACAAATTTTCTGCTCTGCTCCCTTATCCATAATGTTTTAGCTTTCAAATAATATTTCAACTTGGAGGTTTGCACACAAACTCACCGGTGTATCTGCAATGCTTTGGTGGATTAGTCATTAGTTTTTTTCCAAAATAAATTACGGAGCTTCTTTGACGTAAGTACCGGTAACAGAACCTACAAAATCTTGCAAGCTCTATTGAGTACATATGTACATATGTATATTGGTATAAAATAAAAAAGTTATTAAAATGGCAATTTCAAAGAGTTAAATTTGCATTGCTCTTTTCCAGATGCCGAGATTATTTTTTAAAAAACGGGAAAATATTTTGAATTGGAAAACACCACCGAAAATTGACTTCAAAGATATACATATTACATTTATTGACATTCAACGAAACTTAAGGATTGAGCGAAAATATATTTTATATATAAGCGATAAGTACTTGGTTCCAGAATCGCACACTTAACAATAGAAAAATTCTTTACGGGGTATGAGAGATTTCGATTTAAGAATCTGGAATATATATGTTTAGACATATGGTATATACTACACGTACAGTATGCATATTTATAGTGAGTGGAAATGGTAATGAAGCCGCCCTGGTAATACTTCGCCTGGCCCAACCGAATCGAAAGCGCCTGCGCTCGGTGGTGATGATGGAGTTTTGTTTACACAGAGGCCAGGTTGGGTTCCTCTTCGACATGGTTATCCTCGTCTTCCAGGGGCGTAGAGGCAGATGCGCCCCGCTTGCGACTTCCTCCAGGCGCATTTCCCGCCGCCTGACTACCAGTCATTATGGAATAACTCTTCGATGCAGGCTTTCGCGGACTGGCGACGGTATCTTTCTCCAGGGTGGACATGTCCCCATTGCTGTGACCATTGCTGCTGTGCGGGGAACAGCTGCCATTGCTGTTGGCTGCCATACTCCCGGTCCCAATCGCAGCCCCAGCGCCATTTCCATTACCACTTCCATTACCGGCACCCGCCTCGTTGATGAAGACGTCCATGTGATCGATGGTGTCGTTTAAAGCAAAGCTCTGATCCCGGCGCTCGCTCTTCTTCCACAGGTAGTAGAAATGGACCAGCTCACGCATGGTTCTGGTGCGCACCTGAAAGAGCCCAACGAGCCCACAGATTACTCGCTAGGGGCGATCGGCGGGCGATGGACGATCCTTTACCTGGTTCTGACGTATCTGATAGAAGTCCTTGCCGAACCTCTGGATGCCCTCCTCGAACTTCAGGCACTCGTCCTCGGACCAGCTGCTCATAGTGTCGCTGAGGGGCAGGACGTTCATGCGCTTGCGCCGCAGCGCCTCCTTGAAGTCGTAGCCACATTGGACGAGCAGATGGAGCGCCTGTTCGTTGTCCTTCACCACTAAGTCCTGATCGCCGGTGGCACTGGATACAGGGGGAGCCTTGGGAGGGGTGACAGGAACAGGAGTTGGAGCCGGTGGTTCGGCTGTATCACCTGTAGCTGCAGCTTCCTCGCCTGCCGCACCTTCTGCCCCGCTTTCCGGTGCAACTATGGTTCTCGTTTCCTGGATCTTGGCCAAATATTCTTCCACCTCACGCTCGCTGACTTGGCTGGGCTCCCATATCAACTGATCCTCGTTCTCGTAGGGCAATATGTCGCCATATTGCGAGAGGCCCTCAGGAATCTCAGCCTGATAGTCGTGGCCCACCATTATTATCTTTCGGGCATCGTCCAGCTCGGGCTCGCTTTCTTCCTCCTCTTCGGCTTCCACTTCATCAAAGAGCGTCTGAAGTGGAGTGACTATAAAAGGGTTACATAAATAAACAATTAGTTTTAGTTTCTGTTACCGTCTGGTTTTAAGCCTACATCTTTCGGTCTCCTCACTGCAGGTGGTTGGCAGATCGGCAAAGGATTCATCTGGATAGAGGTCAAGCAAGTGGGAGCGATGCTGCTTCTTGGGGCCTTCAGACGGTGGTGCTTCCTCTGTGTCGATGGACGAGGCTTCTCCTCCTTCCAGTGGAGATGCCTGCTTGTCCGGCATCTCATTTTCTTCTTCCTGCTCGACACTTTCATTGGGCTTTTCCAGTTGCGATGCGCTGCTCGAAGTGGAGGTGGACACATGTGCAATCTCCGTGTCCAGTTCCTGGTACTGGCGCTTGGTGGCATGACGAGCACGTCGGGACCTGCTACTGCCGGATCGATTGGAGCTACTGACCGCCGGCGAAGCAGCCGTGCCGCCATACTTGGCCATCAGCTCCTCGATGGGCATCTCGCTCTCTTCGCGCAGCGTAGCTATCTCGTCCTCGGCGCTATGCGCCTCCATATCCGCCAGAGCCTCCTCCTCGTTAAGCGTGGCCTCGTCGTCAAAATCGTTGACCATCATGTCGATGGTGGGTTCAAAGGTGGTATCCACCACGGACGAGGACGGCGACATGGGCGGCTGGACGCTAGTGCTGGTGTTGTCCGAGCTGGTGGCCGGCGACTTTCGGCGCTGTCGCTTGGTGGGCGTCACGGCCAGGTCGCTGTTAGCCAGGCTGCCGGAGTCCGCTGACGCCTCGGAGGCGCTGTGCTGGGAGTGCTCCGACGATTTCCCGAACTCCATCATTTTCCGTACACACAGTGTGGCAGCGGCCAGAGCGCCAAAATATCTGCAATTGCCTGGCGCAAATTCACTAAAAATGACCCTACAATTGGGATATTCACTGTGTCAAGGGTATTCCTAAACTGTTGACTTTCGTTCATCTGCATATTTTGTAAGGGTTAAGATAGCTCCATTCTGATGACACCAAATTTTGTTTTATTAAACATAGAATTACCAATATTTAACAAATTTTTTGTATATTCGCGTGTAGTCCATATTAAAAGTCATAAAATTCGTTAGCACATTTTTCACATATAATTAAGAATTTTGTATATCTAAACGATATAGCGTCAAAAATAAGATGCAAATTCTCATAATTGTTTAGTAAAAACTTATTAAATTTCTCTTGAAAAAAGGTATTACTCAAACTCAGTTTGTTATTATTGGACATTTCTTTTTATTGAAAAACATTTTTGCTCTTAAGAATAGGAATGAATGAGTTAATGATCCCAGATGAGATAAGTATAAATTTAACAAATACGAATGGTGTTTTTGCCCATGACAACAATGGCTCCTTCATCTTGAACCTCCTTTAGAGCATCCTCAAACTGCTCTCGTGTGATCATCTAAAATAAATAATACATTGAATAATTATTCACTAACTGATAGATAAATACTTACAATTTGTGAACCCTCCTTTATATCGTTAAACAGTTTCTGGTAGGGAACTGTGAGAACCTTGCCCTTCTTTTTGAGGTTCTCCTTGATAGCCGCCACTAGATCAGCCCGCTTCTTGCGGGCGGCTGTGGATAGGCCGGTGGTTAGGATGCCCACATCGATCTTGCCGGACAGCGGATCCGTGGCCGATTGCTTGAGAGCCTCGCGATGGAGTCGCCAAGCCTCCTCCACGTCTAATAATTCCACTTCGTTGCTGAGCCGCACTTTGGCGTGAGCCTCCGACAGACGAATAAGGCTCTCCAGCTGGCGGGGGTAGGCAGAGATCTGACCACGGCCGGCGCCCACCTTGCGCATGTCCACATATGCCTGGATTAGTCGCTGCTGCGCCTCATCCGAAAGCGTGGGCGAGAGATGTTCGCGGGCATAAGCGATATAGTCGCGCAGAACGCTCATATCCTGCAAAAATATATTTAAAAATAATCGTTTAATAGGCAACTTTAATAATAAATTAAGACAAAATGCTACTTACAAACATGGTATCCTCCTCCTCGTGCCGGGTCACATAGTAGAGGGAGACCAAATGACTTGCCAGACGCTTGTCAAAGATCTCATCTTGGGGATCTAGGACTAAAAAGATCAAATCGAAACGGGAGAGCAGGGTGTGGGGAAGCTGCACATTATCAATGATGTTCTTGCGCTTGTTCCACTGCGACTCGGCAGGATTGGCGGCAGCGAGGATTGAGGTCCTTGCGTTAAGCTGACAGATGATTCCCGCCTTGGCAATACTCAGCGTTTGCTGCTCCATCACCTCGTGGAGGACGCTACGGGTCGAGTCGTTCATCTTGTCGAACTCGTCAATGCAACAAACACCATTGTCGGCCAAAACCAGAGCACCTCTGAAAATAATAAACCTTGTAGGATACAATTTTAATCTTAAAGCGTGATTTAAGACTCACGTTTGCAGGACCAGCTGGCGTGTCTCCGGATCCTTAGTGACATAGGCAGTCAAACCCACTGCCGAAGAACCGCGACCAGATGTGTACTGTGATCTTGGCACCAAATTGAAGACGTATTGCAGCATCTGGGACTTGGAGGTACCCGGATCACCGCACAGCAGCAGGTGAATCTCCGATCTAAAGTTTTGACGGCCAAGAGTTGCGTGCTTCTTCTTGGTGCCGCCAAAAAGCTGCAGCAATATGCCCTTCTTGATGTCGTCGTTCTCGTAGATTGATGGTGCAATGGCCCTGGC